AGCATTGTCCTCAAATCCAACAGACCAGTCATGGCTCAGTTTCATTTCAAGGCTCCCCATAGGAGCCCTTGGTGGTGCAGTGGGTTAAATCCCTGTGTCGACAGAACTGAAGACCGACAGGTCACAGGTTCGAATCCAGGGAGTGGCGGATGAGCTCCCTCTATCAGCTCCAGCTCCTCATGCGGGGACATGAGAGAAGCCTCCCACAAGAATGATAAAACATCAAAAGCATTCCCTGGGCGACGTCCTTGCAGACGGCCAATTCTCTCACACCAGAAGCGACTTGCAGTTTCTCAAGTCGCTCCTGACATGACAAAAATAAATAAATAAAAATAATTTCAAGCTTCCCTGCATGACCAATTGTCTTCAGAGAGTTCAGAAGAAAGGTGATACATAATGGCAGGAGGGATTTGGGGGCTTAACCCTCTTGCAGTATATAAGGTGGACTTATTAATCTGTAATGACCCATACATTCCTATTACACAGAATATATCTGTAGGGATGCATTGTGGAAGCGTATTCCTTGGAGGCTTTGGAGCAGAGGCTGGGTGGCCTTTGACAAGATCCCAAAGACCTCCTTACATGCAAAGCAGTCCAATGTGGGCCAGGCAAGGCTACTATTCAGTGGATCTGGAATTGATGAAGTGACCAAACCCAGAGGGAACTTTTCCCCAATGGTTCCTCCTCTTCACCTGGAAAGAAGTGACTATTTGGGTGCCATAAAGAGGGTTCGGTTCTGGGTCCAGTTCTGTTCCTCATTAATGACTTCTATGAAAGTTTAGAGGAATGCTGATCACGTTTGCAGATGGGACCAAATTGGCAGAACTAATACTCCAGAGGACAGGATCGGGATGCAAAATGACACCAACAGATTAGAGATGATTGGCCAAAACTAACACAATGCATTTCAACAAGTACAAATGTAAGATACTCCACTTAGGCAGGAAAAATTAAATGCAAAGATATAGGATGGGTGCTACCTGGCTCCACAACAGAGTTCCATGTGAGACAGACTTTGGGGTCTTTGTGGAGAACAAGCTGAACATGAGCCAAGAGTGTGATGGAGCAGCTCAAAAAGACAATGGGATTTCCGGCTTTATCCAAAGGAGTCTAGTGTCCAAACTGAGGGAAGTCCTGGTGCCTCTCTCTTCTGCTTTGGTCAGACCTCTTCACACAATCAGACTGTGTCCAATTCTGGGCGAAACAGTTCAAGTGAGATATTGACTCTAAGCTAGAAGTTGTCCAGAGGAAGAAGGAGACTAAAAGTCTGGAGACCACGAGTAATCCCTTTGAGGAGCATCTTAAAGAGCTGGGGATGTTTAGCCTCTGAAGAGAAGGTTGAAAGAAGGAGAGATGAGAGCCTGAAAGGATGTCCTAAGGGAGAGGGAGCAGGTTTTCTGCTGCCCTGGAAACTAGGACTCAATGATTGAGACATGGGTTCAATGACAGGGAAGGAGATTCCACTGAACATAAGAAGAGCTGTTCAACAGGGGAACTCTCTGCCTTGGAGTCTGGTGGAGGCTCCTTCCTTCCTTGGAGGCTTTTAAACAGAGGCTGGTCATCTGTCAGGGATACTTTGATTGTGCTTTTCCTGCATGGACTGGATGGCCCATGGGGTTTCTGCCATCATCATCATCATCATCATCATCATCATCACATCACAAAGGCTGGATGGCCATCTTTTGGGGTTGCTTATTGTGCTTTTCCTGCATGAAGGCAGAAGGGGGATGGTCCTTGCAGTCTTTTCTATTATTATGCTAATAATGTCATGTAATATAATACATTGTATATACATATAATATTTATAATACTGTAATGTAATACAATACTAATAATATATTATAATTATATTACATGCAATATTACTAATAATATTACAATATACTGGTATAGTACAATATAGTAATATATAATACTGATATTGTACTATGCTAATAATTTATTTATTTATTTATCGTGTCAGGAGCAATAATATAATGTATTATTAATATATTGTATATATATTGTGTATATATATATATATATATATATATTGTGTGTGTGTGTGTGTATATATATATGCTAATAATATATTGTGTGTGTGTGTGTGTGTGTGTGTGTGTGTGTGTGTGTGTGTGTGTGTATGTATATATATATATCTTGTAAGCCGCTCTGAGTCCCCTTCGGGTGAGGAGGGCGGCATATAAATGCCACAAATAAACAAATAAATAAATTTTCCAACGATGAGTCTATGATTCTGCAATGAAGTTGAGTCAGTATGAAATTCCAGTGCATACCAGGTGAGGAAATGTTGGGGCTGCTCCACGTTTCTCTTGCAAATGAATCCCCTTTCCTTCTTTTCTCTCTTCCTCGGGGCAAACATAAATCTTGGAAAAGGCTTGCAGGAGGAATGCAAACCCAGTCCGTGCCTCACACCGCCAGACCTTCCTGCAGGTGACATCTCGACGTGCAGCATCTGGAGACAAGGCGGCCATGGAAAGAGTCCACGCGCCCAGAAAGAGTTCATCCGCAAAAGGCCTCCTCTGGCGCAGGAAATGCGGGATGAACTCTGCTGGAGAAAGATCCTCCCCAAATTCTTTGTGCAAAATTCTCTGTGCAGCTCATCCAAAAATACAGCAGCAAGCGGAAAAACAGCAGTGCAAAAATCACACGGATTTGAAAAAAGGACTTGATGCATTTTAAACAAACACTTCACTATCCATCTTTGGCATTTCCCTAAAGGATTCCCCTTGACTTTTCTTCCAGTTAGTCTGAGATTAGAAGTTCAGATCAGGCACGGGCCACCTTGAGCCTTCCCTCCAGGAGTTTTGGACTCCAACTCCCACAATTCCTAACCGCCTCAGGCCCTTTCCTTTTCCCTTATCCTTTTCTGCTTAAGCAGCTGGGTGAGGAATCTGTCATTCCATACACAGAGAGGCTAAGACTGAGCGTTAATGGTTTGCTTAAAACTACAGCGAATGTGTGGCCTAATTTAATGGATCCGATTTGTTTCAGAGTACAATGCGAGAGGTTTGGCCCAATTCTATCATTGGTGGGGTTCAGAATGCTCTGTGATTGTAGGTGAACTATAAATCCCAGCAACTACAACTCCCAAATGTCAAGATTCTATTTTCCCCAAACTCCACCAGTGTTCACATTTGGGCATATTGAGTATTCGTGTAGAGTTTGGTCCAGATCCATCATTGTTTGAGTCCACAGTGCTCTCTGGATGTAGGTGAACTACAACTCCAAAAACCAAAGGACACTGCCCACCAAACCCTTCCAGTGTTTTCTGTTGGTCATGGGAGAACTATGTGCCAAGTTTGGTTCCATTCCATCCTTGGTGGGGTTCAGAATGCTCTTTGTTCACATTTGGGCATATTGAGTATTCGTGTAGAGTTTGTCCAGATCCATCATTGTTTGAGTCCACAGTGATCTCTGGATGTAGGTGAACTACAACTCCAAAACCAAGGACACCGCCAAACACTTCCTGTATTTTCTGTTGGTCATGGGAGTTCTATGTGCCTAGTTTGGTTCAATTTAATCGTTGGTGGGGTTCAGAATGTTCTTTGATTGTAGGTGAACTATAAATCCCAGCAACTACAACTCCTAAATGTCAAGATTCTATTTTCCCCAAACACCACCAGTGTTCACATTTGGGCACATTGAGTATTCTTGTAGAGTTTGGTCCAGATCCATCATTGATTGAGTCCACAGTCATCTTTGGATGTAGGTAAACTACAACTCCAAAACCAAAGGACACTGCCCACCAAACCCTTCCTGTATTTTCTGTTGGTCATGGGAGTTCTATGTGCCTAGTTTGGTTCAATTTAATCGTTGGTGGAATTTAATCTATTTTCCCCAAACTCCACCAGTGTTCACATTTCGGCATATTGAGTATTCTTGTAGAGTTTGGTCCAGATCCATCATTGTTTGAGTCCACAGTCATCTTTGGATGTAGGTGAACTACAACTCCAAAACCAAAGGACACTGCCCACCAAACACTTCCTGTATTTTCTGTTGGTCATGGGAGTTCTATGTGCCTAGTTTGGTTCAATTTAATCGTTGGTGGGGTTCAGAATGTTCTTTGATTGTAGGTGAACTATAAATCCCAGCAACTACAACTCCTAAATGTCAAGATTCTATTTTCCCCAAACACCACCAGTGTTCACATTTGGGCATATTGAGTATTCTTGTAGAGTTTGGTCCAGATCCATCATTATTTGAGTCCACAGTCATCTTTGGATGTAGGTGTACTACAACTCCAAAACCAAAGGACACTGCCCACCAAACCCTTCCTGTATTTTCTGTTGGTCATGGGAGTTCTATGTGCCTAGTTTGGTTCAATTTAATCGTTGGTGAAATTTAATCTATTTTCCCCAAACTCCACCAGTGTTCACATTTGGGCATATTGAGTATTCTTGTAGAGTTTGGTCCAGATCCATCATTGTTTGAGTCCACAGTGCTCTCTGGATGTAGGTGAACTACAACTCCCAAACTCAAGGTCAATGCCCACCAAACCACTTCCAGTATTTTCTGTTGGTCATGGGAGTTCTATGTGCCAAGTTTGGTTCAATTTCATCGTTGGTGGAGTTCAGAATGCTCTTTGATTGTAGGTGAACTATAAATCCCAGCAACTACAACTCCCAAATGACAAAATCAATTTTTTTGAGTGAAGGACCTACATTGGGTTGTTCGGTGTCTTGTGTCCAAATTTGGTGTTAATTTGTCCAGTGGTTTCTGAGTTCTGTTAATCCCACAAACGAACATTACATTTTTATTTATATAGATGACCCTTGGGGTCCCTTTGAATGCAGTCTAGAATTGCATTGGCTTCTTGAGTTGCAGCATCACATTGTTGACTCGTGTTCTGCTTGTAGCCTCCTCAACCTTCCCCTGTGGGATCTCAGCCATCCATTTCCACCATGGATTGAAACTGGGTTCCCCATCTCAAAGGATTCCAGCAAACAGGACTGACACGACGGGGCATTAAGCCCATAGAGTGGCAAGCACAGCCTTACCTTGGACCAGTCGCCAGTCTTCCATTCATAACAGCCAGTGTGGTCCTCACATTCCTCTTCTTCCCTGGGCCGTGTGGCTGCGTCGCACTTCCCTTGTGAGTTGGTGCATGTGACCGTGCGCTTCTGCTTCCCGCGCCCGCAGCTGGAGGAGCACTGCAAAGGAAGGAAGAGGCACAACCGTCGGCCCTTAATTGGGACTTGGACAGAAGCAGGGGAAAAGCTCCACCGCTGCCAACATATTCAGGGTTTTTGAAGCCATTCTAATTTTCCCAAACGTTTCTTGTTAAGAGAAACTTTGTAGACTTTCTGAGCGGAAAAATCGTTGGGACCTATTGGGGCACGATCTAAGATAGGCTTTGGATGGAGCAACGCTACGGAATTCCAAATATGTCAAGCTTAACGAGGCAAAAATGGCCATTAATCACATTCCTTAAGCGGCTAAGGGTGGAAAGGAAGGGGCCTGAGGCCAGGAATTGTGGGAGTTGAAGTCCAAAACACCTGAAGGGAAGGCCCAAGTTGGCCCATGCTTGCTCAACCCATTGGCAATGTTCATTACACTAACAATGGGCAAGAAAACCCATCCAGGGCTATACTTTTGGACATGTTCGTCCAATTTCTCAGATACTTTTGGGTGGATCAACATTGCTACATGATGTGATTTCAGAATGCAGATTAACTGCACTGAACTGGATTGAATGGCAGTGTAGACTCATCTAATCCACTTCAATGCAATTAATCTGTATTCTGGAAACCGCATCATAGGACAGATCCAGCCTTGAAAGAGTCACGATGCTTTTTGCAAAGGCTCTCGATATTCCAACCCTAATAAAAACCCAGTTCCTCCCGCTAGATCAGGCCATCAAGTGCTAATCAAGCTGGTCAGTTGAAACATTCACACCTAGCTCCAACAGACAAGAGTCCTTTGTCCCACCCTGATCATTCCACAGATATATAAACCCATTTTCCAAGTTCTAGAGGCAGGGTTGGTTCATCAGGTGCTCTGCTATGGCTGACTTATCTGGTTGGAGTAGTCTGCAGTGCCTTTCTTGTTCCTTGATTCCTTGAGATTTAAAAACTCAAAAATTACAACAGCAAAACAACAGAGAGTAAACAATCAGGCACATCAAATCACCTCTCAAAGAAAGATTCCCCCAGGCACTTCCAAGCCATTGAATGCTAATCAAGGTGATCAGCTGAAACATTCACACCTAGTTCCAGCAGACAAGAGTCCTTTGTCCCACCCTGATCATTCCACAGATATATCAACCCACTTTCCTAGTTCCAACAGACCTCACTACCTCTTAAGATGCTTGCCATAGATGCAGGCAAAACTTCAGGAGAGAATGCCTCTAGACCATGGCCATATAGCCTGAAAAGACCTACAACAACCCATTATTATTATTATTATTATTATTATTATTATTATTATTATTATTATTGTTATGAACACTGCTCTATGCAGTCATGCTAGTGGCCACATGACTTTGGAAGCATCTATAGCAGTGGTTCTCAACTTTCCTAATGCTGCGACCCCTTAATGCAGTTCCTCATGTTGTGGTGACCCCCAACCACAATGTTATTTTTGTTGCGACTTCACAACTGTTATTTTGCTATTGTTGTGAATCATAATGTGAATATCTGATATGCAGGATGTATTTTCATTCACTGGACCAAATTTAGCACAAATACCCGATACGACACATTTGAATACTGGTGGGGTTGGGCAGGGGGAATTGATTTTGTCATTTGGGAGTTGTAGCTGCTGGGATTTATAGTTCATTTAACTCCCATGACCAACAGAAAATACTGGAAGAGTTTGGTGGGCATTGACCTTGAGTTTTGGAGTTGTAGTTCACCTACATCCAGAGACTCAAGCTAGGATGGATCTGGACCAAACTTGGCACGAATTCTCAATATGCCCAAATCTGAACACTGGCGGAGTTTGGGGAAAATAGACCTTGACATTTGGGAGTTGTACTTGCTGGAATTTATAGTTCGCCTGCAATCAAAGAGCATTCTGAACCCCACCAATGATACAATTTGGTCAAACAGAACCCCCATGAGCAACAGAATATACTGTGTTTTCTGATGGTCTTTGGTGAACCCTTTGACACCCCCTCGCGACCCCTCCAGGGGTCCCGACCCCCAGGTTGAGAAACACTGATCTACAGACAACGCGGGCTCTTCAGCTTAGGAATGCAGATGAGCATCACCCCCCAGATTTGGACTCGACTAGACCCAATGTCAAGGGGACACCTTTACCTTTACCTAAGATTTCAGCAAAAAACATGCTGGGGCCTTGACAGAATAAATAGTTCGGAGATAGGAGATTTCCTGTGATATCTTTTGAATGGGCTCCAAGAAGCGTCACCATTTTGGGGGTTGAGGAAAGAAACAAGTTTCAACTCGATGTCTGTTACATTCAGTGGGCAGATCTTAACTTGTCTAGTATCTAACCATCTTTAGAAAGAAATCCAGGCGGTTGTGATCTGTTGACCCAGCTGAGGACATGAGTGACAAGTGTTTATGGGTTGGCAAGCCAACAGGCATGCTTGGAGATGCTCTGCGGCAACTGCAAAGTGGTTTATTAATCTTCGCTATATACACACACATATTGGAAAGGCTTTGCTTGGTTTACAGCTGTTAACTGAATGACCGTCATATGGAAAGTAATATTCTGAAGAATGGAAACTGCGTTGGGGATTGAGAGGAATTCCTTCTGTCTGCAGAGATAAGGAAATTCAAGAGCTGCTTCTTGAAATTGCTGGCTAGCTGACTGCATCCATTTCCAAACAGAAAAGGATTGTGCAAGAAATATGTTGGATCAGAAAGGAGTTGCAGAGGTTTCTCTCTGTCCCAACATCCCGAACTGAACCAAGCCATCACGCAAGCACAACTGTAACTGTTGGGTCTGACAACATTTTGAGGAAGAACAGGTCGCTCACCTCAAACAGTGGTTCATTCCAGAGCATTTGTTGCTTAATGCCAGCATAAAGATGGCTGCGCCAAAATGGCACAGAAAGAGTTGAGATGGTGGACTAAAAGGCCTTGAATTCATATTTATACACTAGCCGTCCCCTGCCACGCGTTGCTGTGGCCCATTCTGGTGGTCATGGGTTTTCTGTGTGGGAGGTTTGGCCCAATTCTATCGTCGGTGGGGTTTAGAATGCTCTGAGATTGTAGGTGAACTATAAATCCCAGCAACTACAACTCCCAAATGCCAAGATTCTATTTCCCCCAAACTCCACCAGTGTTGACATTTGGGCACATTGAGTCTTCGTGTAGAGTTTGGTCCAGATCCATCCTTGTTTGAGTCCACAGTGATCTCTGGATGTAGGTGAACTATAACTCCAAAACCAAAGGACACTGCCCACCAAACCCTTCCAGTATTTTCTGTTGGTCATGGGAGAACTGTGTGCCAAGCTTGGTTCAATTCCATCGTTGGTGGGGTTCAGAATGCTCTTTGATTGTAGGTGAACTATAAATCCCAGCAACTACAACTTCCAAATGACAAAATCAATTTTTGAGTGAAGGACATACATTGGGTTGTTAGGTGTCTTGTGTCCAAATTTGGTGTGATTTCGTTCATTGGTTCTTTTGTTTTTAGGGTACACATTACGCAGAGAACATTTTTATATATATAGATGGCTATAATATCTCCTCTCAGCCTTCTCTACTTCAGGTTAAATGTGCCCAGCTCTTTAAGCCGCTCCTCATAGGGCTTGTTCTCCAGACCCTTGATCATTTTAGTCACCCTCCTCTGGACACATTCCAGCTTGTCAATTTCTCTCTTGAATTGTGGTGCCCAGAATTGGACACAATATTCCAGGTGTGGTCTAACCAAAGCAGAATAGAGGGGTAGCATGACTTCCCTACATCTAGACACTATGCTCCTATTGATGCAGGCCAAAATCCCATGATGTTTTGGCCTTCAACTCCCATAAATCCTAACAGCTGGTAAACTGGCTGGGATTTCTGGGAGTTGTAGACCAAAACCCCTGGGGACCCCCTTGTTGAACCCTGAATGTGTCTCTGTGCTTGTCAGGTTTTACAATGTATTGTAATGTAATATAGCTGAGTCATGCACTGCTAATAGGCTTCTATTAGAAATGCTGAGTCATGCATTAACTGTATATAGGGAATCATTTGGGGAATGTGTTCTGGCCTAGTCCAGGTGATTGTGAATGATGTAATCCTGGGTCTGAGTTAAGTTAATGAGTTGGGAACCAATCAGAGATTGCTATGTGTAATTGTATAGAATTGTATATAAGGAAGTCATATACAGTGTATATTTCTCCTTGTGCTGTGATATTGTTCGTCGAAGGCTATATGTAATTAAAAGAACCTGTCTGCTAAGTCAAGATAAAACTGTATGCTGTGGTTTGTAATATCATCTAGACTGGGGGAAAGACAATGGTAAAACTGACAATGGCCGGGCATGTGCTCAAGTGTCCGTAAAACAGTTCCAGAGTGACTGCAAGCTGTGGGAGCAGTTGACTGAAAATACTGTGCAGGAAGAAACTACTGGAAAGCTCTGAAGTGCAACTGATCTGCTGCTAAATTGTGAAGTTAATTTCAACACTCCTATTGATGCAGGCCAAAATCCCATTGGCAGCAAAAAAAAAGCCAATGGGATTTTGGCCTGCATCAATAGGAGCATAGTGTCTAGACCCAGGGAAGTCATGCTACCCCTCTATTCTGCCTTGGTTAGACCACACCTGGAATATTGTGTCTAATTCTGGGCACCACAATTCAAGAGAGATATTGACAAGCTGGAAAGTGTCGAGAGGAGAGCGACTAAAATGATAAAAGGTCTGGAGAACAAGCCCTATGAAGAGCGGCTTAAGGAGCTGGGCATGTTTAGCCTGAAGAAAAGAAGGCTGAGAGGAGACATGATAGCCATGTATAAATATGTGAGAGGAAGCCACAGGGAGGAGGGAGCAAGCTTGTTTTCTGCTTCCCTGGAGACTAGGACACGGAACAATGGCTTCAAACTACAAGAAAGGAGATTCCATCTGAACATGAGGAAGAACTTCCTGACTGTGAGAGCCGTTCAGGAGTGGAACTCTCTGCCTCGGAGTGTAATGGAGGCTCCTTCTTTGGAAGATTTTAAACAGAGGCTGGATGGCCATCTGTCAGGGGTGCTTTGAATGCAATATTCCTGCTTCTTGGCAGGGGGTTGGACTGGATGGCCCATGAGGTCTCTTCCAACTCTTTGATTCTATGATTCTATGAATGAGAAAGCCACTCTTTGTCGCAAATCCAAAGTGTCACATTTCTCTAAAATTCCACAAGTGAAATCTGAGACACACGTGGGCACGTATCAGAATACGCTCAGGGGGCAAAAAGTAATCAACGGGGAAGAAAACACAAGCGAGGAGAAGCTGTAGCAGTTTGCTTTTACTTACTGCAAAGATGCTGCCTCTCTTCTCTTCTCCCATTGCAGATTAAATGGAATGCATTCCGGCCCTTTCTACACTGCCGTATAATCCAGATTATCAAAGCAGACAATCTACATTATCTGCTTTGAACCGGATTGTATGTGTCTACACTGCCAACATAGAAAATCTGGTCAAGACTAATGTCTGATATTGCATTTGACTGTTCTGGGGATGCTTTTACTTAATCAGAGTGGGTTGTAAACAACTAAAGTGTTCCTTGCTCACGTTTTCATAATACTTAATTCTAATTGGGTTTTTTTAAGGATGCAAGAGCTAGCTCATGTCGTATTTTATGTAGTATTTTAAGGGTGCACCTCGTCATTGATTTATGTGGCGTTTTAATGATTTATGTATTATTTTAATGGTGCATTTCGTATTGTATTTAATAGTCTGGTTTTTATGTATTTGTTTGTCCGGTGGCGCAGTGGGTTAAAGCACTGAGCTGCTGAGCATGTTGACTGAAAGGTTGCAGGTTCGATTCCGGGGAGCGGCGTGAGCTTCCGCTGTCAGCCCTAGCTTCTGCCAACCTAGCAGTTTGAAAACATGCAAATGTGAGTAGATTAATAGGGAAGGTAAGGGTGCTCCATGCAGTCATGCCGGCCACATGATCTTGGAGGTGTCTATGGACAACGCCGGCTCTTCGGCTTAGAAACGGAGATAAGCACCACAGTCCAGAGTCAGACATGACTGGACTTTACATCAGGGGACAACCTTTACCTTTTAAATGTGAAAGACCTATGGTCTAAGCCAGGCATGGGAAAACTTGGGCCCTCCGTCTGTTAGGAATTGTGATAGTTGAAGTCCAAAACATGTGTCAGGCCCAAGTTTGCCCATGGCTGGTCTACGCATTGAATAAACTCTACACTGCCATATAATCCAGTTGAAAGCAGATAATCTGGATGTTATATGGCAGTGTAGAAGGGGCCTTAGTTTGCTGCAAACAAAGCAAACCAAGGACAAAAAAGGAGACATTTCAACGGCAGCTGGAAAAGTGAGAAGTCGGGAAATTAACTGGGACTAATTTGCCTGTTTCTAGTCATCTACACTCAAGGCTTTGTCTCGTCAACTGACCCATTCTTCCCATCCAATCAGCCGTACCTTAGACCATTCTGATGCTTCCCAGATGGAGACGCAGTCTCGGCCTTCGCAGCTTTGGAAGGCGGTGGGCTTGGGAGCGAGGCAGTAGAGATCCCTGGTGTTGACGTAGGTGCCGTTCTGCAGCTGATAGACGCAGGTCACTTCTCGGCGCTGGGTGCCTTTGGCGCAGGTTGCGGAGCAAGGGCTCCACTGCCCTGCCACCCACCTATGGCAGAAACAGGGAATAAAGAAGAACAGAAGCCGTGAAACCACAAGCAGATACAGGTGAACCACTGTTAATTGCTGTCAAGTTGACGTCAACATATGACAACTCAGTGAAAGAATCATAGAATCAAAGAGTTGGAAGAGACCTCATGGGCCATCTAGTCCAATCCCATTCTGCCAAGAAGCAGGAATATTGCATTCAAATCACCCCTGAGATATGATTCCAGTGATATTAACGAAATGCTTAGGCTGCAAAGGAATGACAAGTTGGGGTGTGTCCAAAGGAGGGTGACTAAAATGGTCAGGGGTCTGGAGAACAAGCCCTATGAGGAGTGGCTTAAAGAGCTGGGCATATTTAGCCTGAAGAAGAGAAGGCTGAGAGGAGGTATGATAGCCATGTATAAATATGTATATATGGACAATCTTTCTTAACTCTGCTGGCGTGAGGCCCCAACTCCCAGCTCCAAGCTGCGTTATGGATAGCCCGAGTGGTCCCTTACCAGGCAATGGTTGCTGCAGATCTGCCAAGATGGTGCCCTTTTAGTTTCTCCACAAAGACTGTGGAACTGTAACTTTACTCTCCAGCAAAGCTGTAGAGGTCTTCCTTTTCCCCCAGCAAAAGCTGGCTGTAGATCTATTTCTTTCACCCCGGCATTGCTGTAAGAAGCAAAGCTTTTTACAGGTGGGGTAGAGAAAAGCCCACATGTCCTACTGTAGGGCTCCAAACTGTGAGACTGAACTAAAAGTCCCCTTTTCCCTCCAAAACCTGGGGAAAGGGGCATATTTAAAGGCTCTAATGAAGATTGATAGGTCGTTGGCCCTATGATTGCAACCTGGGGAAAGCTACCCAATTGCAAAAAAGCATAGCTTGCTTAGATTCATGCAAACTAACAGTGCAAGAAAGGAAATTCAAATCTCCTGGCACAGCTGTGCCAGCACAAAAAAGATTCCACCTGAATATGAGGAAGAACATCCTGATTGTGCGAGAGAGCTGTTCAGCAGTGGAACTCTCTGCCCCAAAGTGAGGTGGAGGCTCCTTCTTTTGAGGCTTTTAAGCAGAGGCTGGATAGCCATCTGTCAGAAGTGCTTTGAATGCGATTTTCCTGCTTCTTGGCAGAATGGGGTTGGACTGAATGGCCCAACAGGATTCTTCCAACTCTGGGATTCTATGATTCTAAGTGTCCTATGTATATTTCCAGAAGTGTTTCCTTTCCTGGAGACCAGCAAACTATGAACTCCGATCCTTGAAGTGGGGTGTGGATGCCTATGATTATTATGCTCCTATTGATGCAGGCCAAAGTCCCATTGGCTTTTTTTGCCATGACATCACATTGTTGGCTCATGTTTAACTTGTCCACGAGGACTCCAAGATCTTTTTCACACGTTCTTCTCTCGAGCCAGGCATTCTGTATCTTTGCATTTCGTTTTTTTTTCCTAAGTGGAGTATCTTGCATTTGTCCCTGTTGAACTTCATTTTGTTAGTTTTGGCCCATTTCTCTGATATGTCAAGATCGTTTTGTATCCTGCTCCTGTCTTCTGGAGTATTGGCTATCCCTCCCAATTTGGTGTCATCTGCAAACTTGATGATCATGCCTTCTAACCCTTCATCTAAGTCATTAATAAAGATGTTGAACAGGACTGGGCCCAGGATGGAACCTGCACTCCACTCGTCACTTCTTTCCAGGATGAAGAGGAAGCCTTGGGGAGAATCACCCTCTGGGTTCGTCCATTTAACCAATTACAGATCCATCTCACCGTAAGCAAGCTCAGAGCTTTCTCTTTTTTCTCCCCCCAAAGTTAAAATGAACTCTTGTCACAGTGAAAGAGAGCGGCCCCTTTAAGATGTTCTCGGTCAGCGAATATGCCAAGCATGCATTTCTAATATCTGGGTGGGCAAACACACATGGAAATTTAAATTCTACAGAGGCAACGGGAATGTGCTTCGGGAAACGTTTCCACTTGGCAGCGCCCGAAGTGCGAATGTGTGGCTGACCTGGAAGGAGGGAGGGAAGGAGGGAGGGAATGCATGCAAGGTGTGGCTGTTTGTTGCCATAGTGCCGGTGGCAAAACCACCAATGAGAGCACCATCCTGAGCTGTCCGACCAAGGAGAACCACTCTTGATTTTACGACTACGGTAAGTATGCGCAGAAATTCCACACCAAAAGCAACAATCATGGAACGAGGGGAGAGGATTAAGTCCGTGGAGCGGTGCAGTTTAAACTTCTCGCTCTGCATAGAACAGCAAAACGACCCTCCACTCAACCCTGAAAGGCTTCCTTGGAAGCCGCCGAAAACATTTAAAGTCCTGGTGTAAACAGACAGGAAACTGGGTTGTTGTAGGTTTTTCCGGGCTATATGGCCATGTTCTGGAGGCAATTTTTCTTCTGACGTTTCGCCTGCATCTATGGCAAGCATCCTCAGAGGTAGTGAGGTCACCTCTGAGGATACTTGCCATAGATACAGGCGAAACGTCAGGAGAAAAATTGCCTCCAGAACATGGCCATATAGCCCGGAAAAACCTACAACAACCCAGTGATTCCGGCCATGAAAGCCTTCGACAAGACAGGAAACTTCTACAGCCTTTCACATGGAAACCCGTACAGCAGTGGTTCTCAACCTGGGGTTCCCAGATGTTTTTGGCCTACAACTCCCAGAAATCCCAGTCAGTTTACCAGCTGTTAGGGTTTCTGGGAGTTGTAGGCCAAAACACCTGGGGACCCACAGGTTGACAACCACTGCTGTACAGAATAGAAATAGGAGAGCGAAACACTGGCAATCATCTTGGAGAATTCCTTGAGAACAGGAGAAGTCCCAGCAGACTGGAGGAGGGCCAACATGGTCCCAATCTTCAAGAAGGTCAAAAGAGGACCCAAACAATAACCAGTGTCCAGTCAACCTGACATCAAGACCAGGAAAGATCCTGGAGCACATCATGAAGTAGGCAGCCTGCAAAAATCAGCATGGAGTCCTCAAAAACAAGTCAAGACAGACTCACCTGACCTCTTACAAGCCTGGTAGATGCAAAGAATGCTGTGGACAGAGCATCTCTTGATTCCAGCTAGGCCTTCGACAGAGTCCCCCATGACCTTCCAATATGGTCCAGGCAAGGCTACTGTTCAGTGGATCTGCAATTGGTCAAGGAACCAAACACAAAGGGTGCTTCTCCCCAATGGTTCCTCTTTCTTCATCTTGGAAAGAAGTGACTAGACAATTTCTCCGAAATTGGAGTCAGTGCGTGGAGTTTATGGATCAAACCTCTGAAAGATCCCCCCTTTTTTGTGGGGTACCCCAAGGTGCAATTCTCTCCCCTCTTCTTTTCAACATCTACGTTAGATCCCTCACCAGTTTGGCTCGGAGACTCGGCCTGGCCTGCTATCAATATGTGGATGACACCCTTTTGCGTTTGGAGCCTGGAGTAACGTCAACACCAGACAATTTCACCTTATGTCTGGAGGCTCTGTCTAACTGGCTACATGCTAGTAGACTGAAGATGAATCCGGCAAAGACTGAGATCCTTTGGCATGGCCGCCCGATAGGCCTGGCCTATCCGTTACCTACCTTTGATGGTGCTGCTCTATCTCCATCGCCTATCGTTAAGAGCTTAGGTGTCGTTTTGGATTCGCAGCTGACAATGGAAGCTCAGGTCGCTGCTGCCAGCAAACAGGCCTTTTTCCATCTACGACAAGCGAGGCAATTGACACCCTACCTATCTGATGAGGCTCTTGCAACAGTCATCCATGCCACGGTCACATCTAGGCTGGACTATTGTAACACCTTGTATGTTGGCCTTCCTATGTCTACGACCCAAAAGCTCCGTATTGTGCAAAATGCTGCAGCCAGGTTACTCACAAAATCGCCTATGAAATGTCATATAACTCCAGTGCTGCGACATCTACATTGGTTTCCAATTGATTATTGTGGTCTGTATAAGATGCCAGTTCTGACCTTTAAAACTTTATATGGCCAGGGTCCATCCTATCTTAGGGACTGTCTCTCCTTCCATCATCGGAGGTCGACATGATCTTCCCAACACGATATACTTTATATACCGGGTCCTAGAGAAGGGCATTTGGAAAGTACCAGACGCAGATGGGCTTTCTCTATTTCTGCCCCTGCCTTATGGAATTCCTTGCCTCCCTACATGAGAGCCATGTGCAACTTAGGGCTTTTACTCTAGCACTTAAGACTTAGCTTTTTACTAGAGCATTTGATCTATGTTAATTTATTAATATCTGTTTGTATGTATTTTATTCTGTACAGTTTTGCTATGTAAATCGCCTAGAGCAGTAGTTCTCAACCTTCTTAATGCTGCGACCCCTTAATACGGTTCCTCATGTTGTGGTGACCCCCAACCATAACATTGTTTTTGTTGCTACTTCATAACAGTCATTTTACTACTGTTATAAATCATAATGTCAATATCAGATATGCAAGATGTATTTTCATGCACTGGACCAAACTGGGCACAAATGCCCAATGCAACCACATGTAAATGCTAGTGGGGTTGGGGGAGGATGGATTTTGTAATTTGGGAGTTGTAGTTGCTGGGATTTATAGTTCACCTATAATCAAAGATTATCACTTACCTCTCCGAACGCATCTCCACCTATGAACCGACTAGGACATTAAGATCGTCTGGGGAGGCCCTGCT